CTCATATTGCTTCGCAGACACATTTATAATCCAGGGAAGAGCCCACTAAGGCTTTTATTTCAATTACTGTGAAGATTCTCCAGGGTGACTCTAGGTGTTCAGGATGAAAGGCCATTGTAGTTAGTCAATACATTTTCTACTACAAGTTTTCTCTATTATTTTCTCTACTAATAAGATTGAAGTACATTATTTAATTGTTTTAGGTTCCAAGATCTTAAAAAGGGTAAAGATGTTAGACTTTACAATTAAGCAAAACCCTAGGGTGCTGGAAGTTTCTCTCTATAGAAACATGTCTTGTCAAGAGTCATTGAGCTGATGTCTAATATCTATACTGACTTTTATCAGAACACAACTGGAATGACTGTCTCATGTTAATACTGAAAGTGAGCTTCTCAGCTAATCAACACATGTAAACTTCCCCCATAGTTCTAATAGCATGGGCTTTCAGCATGGCTTTCTTATTCAAGTCTAGCTCATGAATTTTGAAAAGGACACCACAAAGCCCCTCCAACTCTTTTTCCTCCCCCAACTTCCCCATAAAAACAGCTTTTCAGAGGAGTTAACTTAAAGCAACAGAAGGTGAAAGGTCAATCAGGAGACCACAGAAAGAGCAGTAGTCCGACCTACCGCCCTTTATATACTGCTGATTTCCTCTGTTTCTTTAAAAAAAAAAGTGAATGGGGTATTTCCATTTTATTTATTGACGTATTTCTTTTGAGCTTCGCCAGTTCAATCAAAAGACTCTGTCCTAAGTGACTATCAAAGCCCAGCATTTGCAGTGAAAGAAAACAATTACTAATATCTGAAATTTGTTATTGGTTGATGATTATTAAACATGCATGTTTGAAATTCAGAATTCTTACATGGTGTTAGTCTATCACCCCCTATGTCTCCTTTTCATATTATGTACTTTTTTTTTTTGAGAAAAGGAAAGAGTTGGGCTTTATAAATATGTTGATGAAAGAAATTACTCAAGAAAACCTACAACTCAGAAAAATATTCTTAGGAATTTTTTCCCAACTTCAGGATTTAAACATCTTTTTCTCCTCAGAAAAATTTTTGAACTAACTTAAAATGTCCAAAACGGCTTGTGGCATGTGCTGGCCCAGTTTCTTTTTGTACCAGGATAATTTTTGATGTCTTTCTCAAGTTTATACCATTGATGTTCATCTTTTAAGACAGTAATAAGCTAGAAACTCTGTAAAGATAGAAGTTGTAGCACACTTATGTTATAGCAAAACCATTTGTGTCTTCTCAAATCAGTCACTATGAAATGTTATCTTGCCTTCAGGAAGCCTAAGTTTAGAATTAGTATCCCTAAATTACTATATTTAAAGTCAAGACAAATGGGTGAATGAAAACTGCCATCCAGTGTCAGTGAAAACGGGACACAGTGCCATCCTTAGAGCTGGTAGAAAATACAATCAGACTAATGAATATAAAGCTCACATGTCTGAACCCCATGATAAAGGGAATATATTCTTAAATGAAAGTTTTTTTTTCTGGTCATTAATTGTACTGTTAATGATTTAAACCATATTTTGCTTCTGCTTTCTTGTATTTCTAAGACAGGGCTGCTTTATTTTCAAAATGTTTGCCATTTCTACCTGATATTTTTTTCCCCAAAATTTCTGAGAGCTCCACAGAGTTCTCTTTATGTATGCAAAGGTAGGCAAAGCACATTACCATTAATCAATGTTGTCATCCTCCCAGGTACCCTTCCCTGGCTCAGGAGCCTTATGGGCCCTAGTGAACATAAAAGGCCCAAGCACTCAGGAATCAATTTCATAGGGTTTCTTCAGAACCCCCGAAAGGTGGTAGGCAACAGCCACAAAGCATCAAGGACTCCTTGCATGAAAAAACAAAAGTAAAGTACACAGTAGAAGATATCTTTTTCAAGGAAGGCAAGATTTCAAGTGGTAGGCAAAGGCAAGACTTGAGTACACTTCTTGGAACCTCAACCAGAACATCAAAACTGACTCTCAAAGTTGAGTATTTAACAGGAGAATCAGCCCCCAGGAGTCAGAGCCTGACACTAAGTCAAGGTAGGAGTGGGGTGGAGAAGGACATGACTGAAGCCAGCGTGAAGCTGGGTCCCACACTGGTGATCGTTTTATTCGCCTTTCAGCCAACTATCAGCCTTCTGGCTTCCTTTCTACATCCTGCTCAACAATCATCCTGCACACCCTTCCCTAGATAATCAACATTTACAGCCTGGCGACTGTATTTCTGTACCCATTCTCATGAAATCGTAGATAGATGGAAGGTGTGATCACTGCTTGGGGTCATATTATATACACATTTCTATACCTGTATTTCTTCCTTAATACATTTTAGAAACCCCTCAATGATATAACTCTAATTCATTCTTCTCAGGAGTTGGATAATACTTCATGTTATTGATATGTCACAGTTCATCAGACCATTTTCTTACCAGTGGGCATATTCCTTTCATCTGTTCATTTGCTACTACAAAAAAAAAAAAAAATTCATTCAGGCAACATGTCTTTATTACATGCCCTCTAGTACCTACTGAACTCTAGGAACAGCAGTGAACAAAGTCCCCGCCCTCACAGAACATCCATTCTAGAAGAAGGGACGGACAACGATTTATTATGTAACATAATGCGATACTTTTATAAAGCTACGTAAGGAAAGAGAAGGTTAGAGGAAATTGTTACTTTAAACGCAGTGGTCAGGGAAAACCGCTCTGAGGAGATAACTGATCACAAACGTGAAAGGCTTGAGAGAGTAAACAACGAGGTGTGGTAAGAGAATAGCGATCAAGTCAACGGAGCAGGACCAAGTGTCTGAAGGGAGGGCACGCGCAGAGTGACTGAGGACAATGGGCAACATCGTTGTGACTGATGCGCAATGAACACGAGGAGGATAGAGTCAGGCAAAGGCGTCAGCAAGATATCGTGCCCAGGGCCCAGACGCTGTAGGGTGTGGTAGGCTGCAGTGGGCACTTTAGAAAATGCCACAATAAATGTCACAGATCTTGCTAGATTGGTTTCCAAACAGCTTGTCACAATTGACATTTCTACAAGCCATCTATGAGTATACGGTTCCCTGATATGAAGTGCACTTTTCTAACGTTTAATAATTTGATGTGTGTAAAGTGGTATCTTCTTGTTACTTTAATTTTCATTTCCCTGCCTCTTAGGGAAGTTGAGCATTTGCTTATTTGTTTGACAAAAAGGTAAAGAGTAGTTACTATGTGACATGCACTGTTGTTAACACTTGATGTAAATTATCTCACTTAACAACCCAGTGTGGTAGAAACCATTCGCTGACAGATGAGGAAACTAAGGCAGATGGCAGTTTAGTAACTTGCCTGAGGTCACATAACTAGGTAGTAGAGGTTTAGGAATTTATTTATTTATTTATTTTACAATTTGTTTTTTGAAGATTTTATCTATTTGACAGAGACACAGCGAGAGAGGGAACACAAGCAGGGGGGAGCGGGAGAGGGAGAAGCAGGCTTCCCGCTGAGCAGGGAGCCCGATGCGGGGCTCCATCCCAGGACCCTGGGATCATGACCCGAGCTGAAGGCAGACGTTAATGACTGAGCCACCCAGGCGCCCAGTTTAGGAATTTAAATGTAGGCAGTCTGGCTCTAGAGTCCACACAGCTGTTTGCCAGGCATTTGAGTTTGCTATCCTATAAAATTTGCGGATAACCTGAAAAGGTATTAGGAGAATAAAATATTTGTATAGAAAAGCTATACACATGCAGACTAGTCTCCTTAGCTTATATGTCTGTCAAACCCAAAGAGAGGTCTGGATATTAGATCCACCGGTGAGAAATAGGACAGTTCTGCTGTGAAAAACAGTATCATCTCAGGTTGAGGGAAAAAAAAAAAGTGAAATTCTGGTGTAATCTCAGGTCCACTGGCAGAGAGACGGCAGAGCCAGAACTGGAGACTTTAAATTGGCACAGATATAACACAAAGCTATTGGCCAGGAGAGGTTGCTAAGAGGCCCAACATGTATCAACACAAAATATAATTATCTAGGTTGGTAGGAAATTGTCTTTTGAATATGCCAAAATGCTGACTTTCAGCTATAATGATAATAAAATAGTTTGAAGGAATGAAAATGTGTAAAATGTATAAAAATCAACACTGAAAGGCCCTTGCTGTAATTTTCATTGTCCAATCTTTTCTCGGAACCTCTGGTTTTCTTTCTCAATTGATCTACCTTACATTCTATGAGGGAGGAAAGGGGAAATGTGGAAGCAGCCTGGACAAAGCCCAACAGCCCTGCAGCTCAATGAGAGGCAGGGTCTAGAAGAACACGAACAGCAAATACCTGTCAAGTCTATGTTCCTTTTTCTTGAAAAGGAAGGTTTAAGGATCCCTTAATAATCTAATTCTGATGATACAGAAAAAAGAAAACTATTTCAAACACTGATACCTATAGCATCTTTAGATGACTATAAAACCCCCATTTAAAATAGCCCTGCACTCTGTGTTCACCAAAAGGAGAGTAAGAAAAATCTTAGACATGGTATTGAATCCACCCCAAGTTTACAACTCCTGATGGGGGAAGAAAAAGAGGATGCCTGCTGAGCAACCAATAAATCATCCATTGGTATTGAGGCCTGTACCTTTGTGGATCACTTTATAAGTTTAAATTTGCACTTTGGGCTTAAAGATAGACTTTCAGAATGAAATAGAAAGAAGAAATAAAACTTCAGTTACATTTTCTAGTCATTTGACTTTTGAAATTCCAATCATCTTCCAACAAAAAATAAAGCATTTCCTCTTGTCTAGACAACATAACCTGCTTCCTTCTCAGACAGGGCACTTGGGACCCCAGGCTCTGTCTCATTTCACTCACACCATCTCTGATTCCCCAAAACCCAAGGCTCTACATCCCTTCCACACCCCAACTAGGGAACCCTGCAAAGAGGTACTTCTTATCATTCTTGCACCAAGGCTTTCACCAGACTGTTCTGAAAAGCATCTGTTCCTGTTTTGTTTTGTCTTAACTTACCTTGTGAAGTCTCATCCCTGTGGCATCTGACAGTGGCTTTGGGTGTAGGCTAACTCGAAAAGAGAAAGCAGCAAGTAGTGGTTAGGGAGGTGGCTTTCTGTGGAGCAGACAGCTTGAGCAATCTAACACCGGACGTGCTAAGTTCAGGTCAGCGACCAAATAGTAAAACTGAGAAGCCAACGGTAGTGTAACATCAGGTGGCTAAGGGTTTCCACTACATCCACACATGGCAGAGTGAAGCATTCTGACTGTGTAATTTTTACCACGGAGTTCTGCTTTTTAAAAAATATTTCTTCCAGCTTACAAAGACTTTTTGTGATAGACTGCATTTTTGAGAAAGGGAAGGCTTCTTCCTTCAAGATCTGTTATCCAGGAGCCACTCCATGCATCTCTTAGAACGCATTGCTACTGCATCTTTCTTCGCTTTCCTCCCAATACTTAGCACAATGTGTTCCTAGGAGTTGAAGGTGTATGCACGCTATGTCACTTCCTTGTTTGTTCATCCACTCATCCATTTATTCATTCATCTAATTTGTTAGCTGTATATATATATTAAGCTTCTCTTCCTCATGCCCCGAGGATATAATCACAAATAAGACACAGTCCCCGCCCTCGAGGTCATAAAACCTAGCTGGGGAAAGAAAACTGAGCAAGTAACTGTGAATAGCATGTGGGAGGATAATAGAAGTTTACATAGAATAGATTGGGCCCTGATGGGGAGATGGGCAATCTAACTGGGGGTGAAAGAATTGAGCAAAGGAGATTTTTTTTAACTGCAAGAATATTGCATGGGCATTTTCCACGCAAGGAAATGCATTCCCCACTGGAAGCGCAGTGTATGCAAGGATCCAGAGGCACAACAGAGTACGGTGTGTTCCGAGAACTGCAGCCAGTTCTATATTGATGGAGTACAGAGGATCCTGACTAGGGATGAGACTGAGACATTAATGAGATGATTTTTAATGTCAGGAGGCATTTCTCTCACAAGAAAAATAAATGGCAAGTATATTCATGTAATACTTAAGAAATACTTTAAAGATTGATCACTTTAAAGAAATGTGTTAAAAAAAATATATCAAGGTACTTTCAATAATATAGCTTATGCCCAAGGGGGGAAAAAAAGGATAGTAATAGATTTTCACAATGGTGAATGTTCTAAATGCTAACTCGTGAAATAGAAAGAGATTTTAAAATACTAATCCCTTTTGAAGAAACTATATCCACTTTATTTTCATTTAACATAATGACTTAGACCTAGTCTAAGACCTAGAAAATTACAGCAGGTTTAATAGTATCTGGCACATGGTAGATACTCGGTAAATAGATGTTAACGGAAGTACCGTATAAGGCTGCGTTTAGCAAATTAGAAATGCTTTGTGTACTGACCCTGGCTCTGCGGCGGTACCTGCTACTACTCCTTTGATAAGTAGTCTTTATCCCTCGGGATCCCTAGAGTTGCATTCACTAGGTCTCTTTTTGGTCCCTGCTCCTAACTAAACATTTCCTCTGTCCCACACAGAGCTGGAGAGACTTGACAATGTTGTCTCTAGGTGTGTCTGGGAAGGTTTGAAAGATAATTAGTCCTCAAGCTTGAGGCCGTGGACACGCAAACCAAAGGAGCAAAGTTGCAGTTACCACCATCAATGGCAATTCAAACTGTGCAAATCTAAAAGGGAAGAGCAAGAGCTCTGGGAAGCAGATAAACCATTTCCTCTGTGCTCTGATCTCTACTGTTTGGGTACACGTGGGTGGTTAGGGGGCGGGGTGGCAAGGACCCTAAAGGAAGTGCAGGAGAGAAAAGAGAGTAGTTAATGAACAGGTGTACTTTACAGAAGGCAGTCTGAGGTAGCGGTGCCAATTCTCAGGCCAGACCCAGATGCCATTTCAAACTACAGAAACGCCCCTCTAGACACTCCTGCCTCTCCTTGACTCACCACTTCTTCATGTGCTCCAATCAGTCCCCCTCCCTCCTGGTCCTCTTTAGAACCCCCTTTCCTTAGACTCCTTTCATCCCTTTGTTCAGCGACTACCCCACAACTCTTATTTCAACCAAATGGATTACTTAAAACAATGAGCTGGTTGGGATTTTGGAGTCCACCCAATGCAAATCCCTCCCTTCATATTTGAAGAATGGAAAAGACATTTGAAGACAGGAAAAGTCTAGCTTCTCCTCAAAAACCATATTTCTGGAGTGTGGCAGAGACGAACCTCTGTCTCCTGACAACATCCCCCCACCTCCACCAATATTCAGGGTCATCTCACCATAAAAGGATATCACTGCTCCTACCAGCTTGTTAGTGGATGGTTACGGTTTTAAGGTAGGTATCACACACTAAACCTGGACTCTGTCCTCTTAGTAACCCTTTCCAATAAATCATCCATTGGTATTGAGTCCTTTTTTGGCCCATGCTCTATGCTTCTGTTCCATTTTCATCCGCTCAAATACTTTACACACCAGCCTCAGTTGCCCTGCCGTATCATGGATCAATCTATCTCAATGCCACTACAGTGCTCCTTCCTTCTTCTGAACTCATGGCCCCTCTCATCTGAGATTTTGGAAGCATTTATTTACTTTCTTGATTAAGCTCTTGAATTGCTATTTGACTTACTTTTATCTTTTGTTCTTGCCTAGAAAATAATCTTTGGGGGGGAGGGGCAGAGGAAAGGAAGAGGGAGAAGGAGAATCCTAAGCAGGCTCCAGGCCCAGCGGGGAGCTGACCCTGAGATCATGACCTGAGCCAAAATCAGGAGGTGGACGCTTAACCAACTGAGCCTACCCAGACGCCCCTAGAAAATAATCATCTTGAAAGTAGAAACCACATTTTATTTATTTCTGTATTTACCCATCAGCTAAGATTATACTGTGCACAGGACAGAAACTTAAGAAATGTTTGCACAATGAGTAGACGCTACTAACAGAATGGATGCTTTAATGAAAGAAGGTTGCAATGAAAAAATAAATATTTCTTAGCATGTTGGCTTCAAATATTCTGGAAATCTTGCTATATAGCTAGATTGGACCATACCAAGAAGAAAAATGGGGCCAGGCAAAGCTGTAAAAAGATTCTTTAGCCCTAACCCCTGTTTGTGAATTAAAGGAAGAGGGAGGAAAAAGAACTTCATTCAGTTTATTCAAATTAGAAGGATATGCCTAACTTGGTGATTTTGGAAGTCCTACCCAGCTCTTTTAAACTCTTAAGTACTACAATCTATGCCAATCGTTGGAATTTAGAATACTTATGTTTACAGCATTCTTCAAAGTGTTTTCCCAGAATTACACAGCAAATCTTTTTTTTTTTTTTTTTTTTTTTTTACAAAAAAAGGATTCATTTTAGGGACAGGGAGAGAGCTTGCATGCACTCAGGGTGGGAGGTGGGGGGTGGTATATGTAGCGGGGGGTGGGAGGGTGGACAGAGGGAGAGGGAGATAGAGTCCCAAGCAGATTCCTCGCTGAGCCCGGCCAGTGCTCAATCTCAAGACCCTGAGATCACAACCTGAGCCGAAACCAAGAGTTTGGGGCTTAACCGACTTTGCCACCCAGCCGTCCCCCACCCCCACTCCCGTGCCCCACTGCAAATCTAAACAAATAACCTCATCCATCAGTCCTTTCCTTGATGAACCTCTGTCCTATTCCTGAGAAAATATGGGAGGATGTGATCTAAACTATGGGTTTGGGTTTGTTTGCTTGCTTTGTGTCAAGATTGTACATTCCAGGAAACTACCTTGGAACTCAGAATATTTTTCCTCTCATTAACGATACATAAGAAAGTAGAGCCTTAAACATTATAGGTAAAATAAAAAAATAGGTAAATTACAGGTAAAATAAATTTTACTATTTAGACTGAGGACAAAGCTACTACCATTTCAATTTTATGTATGGAAATTTGAATACCAAATTACATATAAACATTTGGAACAAAATCTGTTCATATATTAGGGAATGTTCGCAGCTACATTTTATCCAGTAAACTCAATGTTCTTGAAATTATTTTTCTAGATAGAATGTGATTGTACATTTGAGTGTATCTATAGTCTTTCCTTGATTGGTCCCATAAAGAAGGGACAGAGCTTAACATCTCATCTCTTTCCAATTTCTTTGCAAAATGTTTTTTGTTTCCTTAGAAAGAAATCAACTACCATATAGCACCTAATACATGCTACGTCTCTGGAAAAATTTCACGTCTATACATGAAAATTTTAAACCTTAAAGTATTCCTTTTTAGTTATTTATATTCATTTTGAATTGAAACAAAACTTGTTCACTTAGTTCAGTTTAAACTAAATTACCTCAACGGGAAACAAATAATATTATTAATAGTTTAATATCTTGCCCTTACCTAGAATTGTACCTTATCTAAAAAAGGTGGCTGGTGTTATTTCCTACACACCTCTCTATATGAAAGTGCAACAACACAGGTTTTCTTTTAATTCAACAAACTATCAAGCATCAGTTACATGTAGGAACATATACCAATCTAATGTCAGAGGCCACTGAGTTTAAAATAGACTTTCTCTACTCTCAGGCAAGCTTCATCATTTGCTAGGGCATATCTGATATCTTTATCCACATTACTCAGATGGAGTATCAGCAAAAATTTGACTCAACTCTTTAGTGCATTATAGTAGCAGCGTGACATAGAAGAGTTCATTCAGTCTTTGGAGACAGATATGGATTTGAAATAAATTAACTAACCTCTCTAAGCCACAATGTCTTCATCTGTAAAATTATGCCTACCTCTGGGATGTTCAGCCACCACAGAGTTAATACTGGTTAATAAATAATTGAAGCACTTTCCTATACTGGTAAATGGCTACTGCCCAAATCCCACCAATCCCCCGTACCTGCTCCCCCATACCAGGATCCTGGGGACCTCCTCCAAATTCAGGAACCAAAGGGTCAAAACCTCACCCAGCAGAGAGGCTTCTGGGATTCTACTCCAGGGCTGCTATTCTGGTTGGTCGGTGCCCTTGCTTTACTGGTTGTTACACATAAAATAATAAACATAAAATACCTCACACCATTATTCTTAGGATTTAGTGGGATTAGCAGTGCTTACCATTTAGCAGGGATTTGTGTTCTATGTCGTAAACTGTTCTAT